TTGTAGAATATGTAGGAACCAATATGAGCATCCAGGTTCCGCTATTGGTTATTGACCGGAGATGAGTCTCAGTCATGTCTACATAGTTCTCGAACCCGTAGGGTCCGCACGCTTAACGTTCTATGACGATTTGTATTATGAGTTATGTGATTTGATAACCGAAGTTTGTTCAGAGTCTAGGATGAGATCGGGGACATGACGAGGAGTCTCGGAATGGTCGAGACGTAAAGATCGATATATTGTAAGGCTATATTCGGACATCGTAAAGGTTCGAGTGATTCGGGTATTTTTGGAGTACCGGAGAGTTACGGGAATTCGTATTGGGCCTTAATGGGCCATACGGGGAAGGAGAGAAAGGCCTCAAGGGTGGCTGCACCCCTTCCCTATGGACTGGTCCGAATTGGACTAGGGAAAGGGGTGCCCCCTTCCTTCCTTCTCCTTCTCCCTTCCCTTTTTCCTATTCCATGTGGGAGGTGGAATCCTACTAGGACTAGGGAGTCCTACTAGGACTCCACACTTTGGGCGCGCCCTATGAGGGCCGGCCTCCTCCTCCCTCCATCCTTTATATATGGACAGGGGGCACCCCATAGACACACAAGTTGATCATTGATCCCTTAGCCGTGTGCGGTGCCCCCTCCACCATAATCCACCTCGGTCATATCGTCGTAGTGCTTAGGTGAAGCCCTGCGCCGGTAGCTTCATCCTCACCATCATCACGCCGTCATGCTGACGAAGCTCTCCCTCGACACTCTGATGGATCGTGAGTTCGTGGGACGTCACCGAGCTGAACGTGTGCAGATCACGGAGGTGCCGTACTTTCGGTGCTAAGATCGGTCGATCGTGAAGACGTACGACTATATCAACCACATTGTCATAATGCTTCCTCTTACGGTCTACGAGGGTACATGGACTACACTCTCCCCTCTCGTTGCTATGCATCACCATGATCTTGCGTGTGCGTAGGAAATTTTTGAAATTACTGCGTTCTCCAACAGCCTTAACTGTAATTTCTCCCTCGGAACGTATTTCTTGAAAGGTCGGGGTGAATCTATTCCGCCATGACGCCGGGGAGCCTCGTGAAGCTCTTTGTACCTGCCCGATGGCCTATGTTGGCCTCGAGGAGGGCGGTCGGGCTTCTCGGTCCACTCGCATTAAATAGCACGTTGCCTTCGGCCTCCTCTCTAGCTCTTGAAGCAGGTTCCTTCACGAGTTAAGCTGATTAGCCCCGGCTTTCCCAAGCTTGTCCTCAAGTTCCTGCTCAGCCTAGAGGAGCTCGACCCATTTGTCGTTAAGCTCGTCCTGTTTGGATTTAAGATGATGGGTCTTCTTATTGATGCTCTTGGCGGTGCTGGCAAATCGCCGGCGGAAGGTTTTGAGCTAAGGCGCCTCAAGGGCCTCCTCAATAACATCAAATTCATCAAGATTGAGGCTTCTATCCTCCTCAGATTCCGAATAATAATCGATGTCCTCGGGGTCATCATCCCCGTTGATCATACCGTCGTCGTTGTTGTTTTTGTCGGCGCCAACATCGTTGTCGGCTTTCTAGTTGTCGGTGTCATCTTGAGCAGTGTCATTGTCGGCAGTAACACCATCTCCAGTTCCCTTGTTGCTTGCATCACCATTGCCAGTTCCTCCATTACGACGGATTCTGCGTCGACGTTTGGGGGGGTGGTCCTTTGCCTCCTCCTCCATCTCTGGGGGTGTCCACCATGTAGATATCATAAGTGGAGGTAGCATCCACTTGCTGATATGAGTAGTGGCAGCCGGTGAGGTAGTGTACGACATCTCATCGACATCTTCATCCATGTCGGCTTCTTCATCGGATGCGTACGCTAGAACGTCGTTTAAATCCTTGATGGTAGCGACTAGGTGGGTGGAGGGTGGGTTGAAAATTTCGGCTCCTCCAGATATGTCCCCGGTCTGATCGTAAACCAAGGTTCGACCGTTCGAGATTGTGAGGCTCTGAATCCGACCTAACATCTCATTCGGAACCACTTTGTCGGCCTCGCCCATATCCCGACTTAAGGTTGGGCTTAGCTGAAGCTTGCTCGAGATCTCATTTGACATGGTATCGGGGATTTCGTCGGCCACACTCGACGTCTATTCTGACGAGGAAGTGTTCGGCTGCGAGCTTGAAGCCAGACCCGATGTGTGATCCGCGTCGTGGTCCTGATCCTAGATTGAATCTGAGATCGACGTGATGGCACCGATGAGGTCCTCGGACTAGTCTGACACCCAGCCCAAGAACGCAAGTTTGCCACGGGCATCCGCGGCATATTCCATGTTTCCAGACATGATGGTCTGGCGTGGAGCGAAATTTTTGATCTGCCCGAAGTGGCTAGTCGAATTGGCGTAGAGCGTGACACTGCCGAAGACAAAAAGTTGTCCAGGGAAGAAGGTCTTCCCACAACCAATGTTGTCGTCGATCCAAAGATGAGCCATGGAGCTGCTTTGACCACACAACGAGACATGCATGGGCCACCAATGTCGGAGTTGAATTCGGCGGATCTCGGGTAGGGGGTCCCGAGCTGGTGACCTTAGCTAGATGGTAAGAGGACGAAGAGGGACACAATATTTTACCCAGGTTTAGGCCCTATATCCTGCTTCTATTGTATTGGTTGTGACGGAGTACAAAATACAGGATGATCTACCTCGAGGTCGTATGTGAATGGATGTTTCTCTACCCTATGGTCTAAAACTGCTCGGCTTATATAGACACCATGGGTACCTAGGGTTACATGTAGGGCGGTTACATTAAGGGGTAAACATGCCGACAATTGGAATGTGCGTATGCGCCAAGTCTTCGGAGGACTCCATCTTTGAGCACGTAGTGGGATATGGTAAATTTGGCCCACTTGTCGATTATCCGGGGGTCCTCAGGCCGGCCCACAATTAGGGGGCCGACATGGTTAGCACCTCCTAGTTTAGGACACTTGAGTAAGAACTCTCAATAGCAACTCACACTCTAAAGTCTAAAAAACTATATTGTAGCCTCCTTAAACAAAAAAAATTCATCTCTGGCCATCGCAGCAGTGGTTTCTCAGGAGCATCTTTTACCTTCAAATGTGCGCTTGTTTCTCTCTTTCCATGGGTTCCAAGCCACGTAAATAGCGGAAGTTATTTGCGAACGGGAATCCTGGTGCTTGCACAGGCCCAGATCCTTCTCCACCATCCCTGGATCGCCATCGATGGCGTACCAACATTGGCCACTTGAGGGTCACTTCAAAGGAAGGAATGCCAAACTTCCCGGGCAAACGGACATGTGAGAGTTAAATGGGCAGCCGACTCAAGTTCCTGATCACGGAAGGTGCATTTGTCGTTGTGCAGACAATCCCTCATGGCAAAACGATCTGCTGTCCAGTTCCTGCAGGACCAACAACCACAAATAGAACTTCGCCTTGGGCTCGCTCTTGATGTTGCAAGTTGCATGCAGCAAGGGGTCGGTGGTGCGACCAATAAACTGAGCAGTATATGTAGACTAAAGCCGCGTAGCAGCCGTTATTTCCGGCAGATGTTGTCAGGAGCATCAGGGAGGACCGTGTGATGTAGCATGTCCCAAAGGTTGACAAATTCGTCCAGGAGCTGCTCGGTGTTGATGTTTCTCCAAACCCTTCATCCATCTATTGCCAGCCAGCACATCTTGTACAGAGAGATTTTTCCGTCGAGCCAAGCAGAATAGGCCGAAGCGTTATCCGTAGGAGCCATGTCACACAGTCATTCCAAAACCTTGCGCTCACCGAGGGTTATTTCCATGCAAGCAGAGAAAAGTGATCTGCCCGTGCGGTCACAGGGGATGGGGGAGCCCTGCCACGGTTGCAGGTTGCCGCTCCACTCAAGCCATGCCCAACGTAGCCGCGGGAGCACAGCTGAAGCATGGTCCTTAACTCCGAGGCCTCCCAATTTTTTTGGTGAGCAGACCTTCCAATTGACAAGGCACTCCTCGTAACTGAGTGGAAGGCCTAGTTTTTTTGTTTTTTTTTTGAAAGCAGAGTGGAAGGCCTAGTTAGCGGCAAGGTAGAGAGCCCGAAATCAAGCTCTTCGCACCTTATTGGATAGGCAACGCATTTCTGGGCATTAATCTGAAGGATCACCATATGTTTCCAACAAGACAGAGCCGCAAACTCCGTCTAGTCTCTATGGTAGTGCGTATGATGACAAGGTCCGTTACCGGAGTGCTTTGGCTTTGGTAGCAGCAGCTGTGACAGGTAGGGGCCGAATCGTTGTAGGAAGCCAATGCGAGCCAGAAATAAATTTATCGATCACGCACACAACAAATCACCGAAAACGAAACGAAATTGGAGTATTAAGTTAGAATGATGTATCGTTATAAACTGTTGATGTACTTTTCATTTTTTAGAGGCGTGCTGTATTTTACAGCAAGAAAATAATACTATCTCTGTAACTTGATGTAAGGCGTTTTGCAGCACAATTGAACTGCAAAACATCTTACATTAAGTTACAACTGCTGTAAAAATGTCTTAAATTAACGCAAAAGATTTCATGCCACAGTTAGCTGATCGGTTCGATGAATTCAGCACATCAAATTTGAACTAAAACCATGACACTAGTTTTGGAACAAAGGGAGTATTAGCTTGCGAGAAACTCCTGCAGCACCAAACATGTCATGATCTTAAACTATTTGTCCGAATGTGCAAAGAGATATCATATTAGGAAAAATTACATCCATACGAGAACAATATCCAAGTTTAGAGCAATGATGGCTAAAATTCTGACGCCAATACAAGTGCAAACGAGATGTAGAGGAAATTTCAATCAATCTTTTGCAACTTCGCAACACCTTACCATAAGGCCAGCTCTCTCTACTCAGAGTACAATCCACCAAAGAACTGAGTTCAAAGTCAAAGGAAAAAAAACAAATTGATGCGACCACAAACCAGCACCACACCATTTCTTGTCGTACGCAACCCCACTAGCACATCAGATTAAGACTAACCCCTCTAGCACATCAGATTAAGACTTAAGCAAGAAACCAAGAGAAATCAGGCCTCATCTTCACTTTCTTCATCACTTCCGTAAATGAAGGGGAAAACAACATCTTTGTGCCCACCCAAGTAGCCACCGCTAGTGGGATGCAAAAGCTCTTTTGCACGGTCCTTGCACCCATAACAGTTACCTTATAAAACAAGGAAAGTGTATTAGCAGTAGAGATGCATAACTAAAGTATCTGCACACAAAAAAAATCTGAACAACATAATAGATAGTTACCCGAGTCATTAGCTTCCAAAGGGGTGCAAAGATACACATCCTCCTCCTCTCTACAATCTGGATGCACCTCCGCAAAGAACAAACTAGATGGGTCACCTTGCATTTTCACAAGAAAGTTAAAGTGTACGTATCCCTTTCCCCCCTCGATGATTAGGTTTCTTGCTTTCACTTCTATTACCTCGAGGTCAGTAGGCTGAAATACAAATGACACATGTAAATTAACAAGCCTGACGAGATATATTTTATTGCATTTCTAGTCTGCAAAATCAAATCATGGGATTTTAGCTATTCTAAGTAAACAATTAATTAACAAACTAGTCTAAAAGCAAGGTTAAATATTTGAGTACGATGTTCGCATACTTGCATATTGTTTTGCTTGGCATAGACGTTCAACGCTATTATCAAACTCTTCTGGTCATGCTCTTGGCTGCGCCTTAGCAGCTCCTCACGGGGCGGTGTCTTGGGCCTGCGAATGAGCTGGCGCTTTGCAGCAGCAACCCAGGCATCACCCAGCTCCTTGAGAGTAAAGGGTGATGGCCTAGGAGTGGGGTCTTCCCAGGTCTCCAACTCAGCAAATCCATCCCTACATACCAAATTTAACACATTAAAGCATAATCACTAATGACTTAACATAAAGTTATCTCAGAAAATTATATGACAGGCCAATTAGATGAGTATCTTGTCTAAACAAGTTGTTCATACAGGAAAAAACCACATGTACCTGTGAGCACATATACAATATTCATATCTACAAATTTTATCATGCAAGGAACATTGCAATGATTAGAAGACAGTGAAGCACACATAGAGCATCTTTTTGGCAAAGTGGTTGTTATACTGGCAAATACTACGATAAGGTATGCTATATCAAATATGCATGAGATTCCAAAAGAAAAAGTTGAAAACACTCACTGGTCCATTGCCAAGGGATGGACAATGTGAGCTACCTGGTCCATTACCAAGAGTGCCACATCACAGCAGTACTAAGTTCTTTCCTTCCAGTTTGTACTTCCTCCTCTTAAGTATCAGATGGGACCGACAGTTATGTCTTTGTCCCTCAATTTGCTAGCGAAGGCTCAATGCAGAACTTGAAGAAAATATAGTTTTACTTTTGCTATGTCATAATCGGAAAGTTGGTGGTCTTGGTACCAGGTGGGCTGCCAGTACCAGAAACTTTCTAGCTTGGACACCCCCTCATAGTGTTGAAACTTACTCGGTTCAGTCCTATGAGTCCTTGGTACCATTGAAATGAGCGCATTGTTCATGCTCGAAAGAAATCAAGCGCATAGTTATTGCAAGATTCCCAATCTATACCCCCTATTTTAATAAGAGATTGTGACTGAATTGGTATACATCAATATATCTGTACACATCAATATATCCCAATTTGCATATAAACTCGTATCACACGTGAATCGGAATGCTCCTGCACATAGCGAGTTGTTAGTGACAAGTGAAGTCCATGTGAATTAAACTGTATATGCACTTTGCAACCAAGGGGTGAGTTTTCGTCTCAACCACTGATCTGCATCGAAAATCATTAAAAAAAGGGTGAACTGAAGCAAAAAATCATGTTTCAATCACCATTAACTCTCTGTTAGACTTAGTGTATCCTTGACTCCTTGGCATGTATGGATAGTGCGCATGGACTTATAGTGTGAAACGGGGGAGCAATAAGCTTTTTAACAGCAAAATAAATAAAATGCATAGGCCACCTGGTCGGTATTTGGCATGGATAACAACTGAGCGAACTGTGCAAACAGTCTGTTAAAACAGATATCATTGTCGAAGGCTGAATGCCTATCTGTTGAAGCAATTAGATCGTTTAACACTAACTGTCACAGACCAAGCTCCTGAGAGCACAGATGTGAGGAGAGGCCTCCTTTTCTGTTTTATTATTGATCCGTTGTTACCTCTAGGTCTTACACGCTAGTCCATGGACAAATTTATTGATCCACGAGATCAGACCATTCCTAACAAACTCCAACTCTAGCTTAAGGAAGAAAAACTCTGACATATTCCTATCTTAACAAACTCAAACTCTGGAAACTAATTGACAAGCTTGGTAATAGAGATCACAAGGTATGCCCATTTAACCTGGTATTTTTTGGATGGCAAGTCGATCTTCATAAGGGCATGTTTGGTTGGGACCCATAACTTGCAATACCTTAAGTTAGGCATGTCATACTCCTTCAGGCTGGTGTTCATTTCTCTACATTAGCTTACCGTGCAACAAAAATCTCGCCACACTTCCTACTGCTTTGCCGCACTTTTTTCATCCATTTTGTGGCACCGGATTCGTCCGCCAAATCTTTGGCGCACCTCAGGTGGTGGGAGAAAACAGGGTTCCTCCAACTGCCCACGGGATGGAAATGATAGCACATACACGGGTATTTCACCACTCTGGGCAAAAAGAAAGCGTGAACTCTCTCGTGTCTTTTCCCCTCCTCCCATTCTCTCCAATCTCGCCTTCATCTTCTCAACTATTCCTCTCCAAATCCCCCTTCTATTTTGTTTCCAAGCCCCCTACTCACTCCACTCAAAATCCCCATCCAGATCCAAGAAAAATCTTGAGTACCATGGCTGGTTTCTGAGAACTGCGGATGTTGCCCATTTCGTCACTCCATAAAAAATCATTTCTTCTCATTGGATTGGCAATGGCAAAGGGAAAGGGAAAGTTGGATGGCGATGGAGCTTCCCAGCAGAGAATCGTAAGTTGGGATCATGAACAGGCCAAGTTCATGTTGGATTTTTACATCGAGTACCGAAACAGAGCAGCATGCAGGCTTCGTTTTCAAAAAGCAACACCATATGAAGTGTGTTGATACTTTAAAGTTTAAACAAAGAGTTGGTTGTGGGGGTTCCACTTGAACAAGCTGATCGTCACTACAGACTACAAGGATAATTGGAAGATAGTCGAGACAGCTATGAATAGGAGTGATGGCTTTGATGCAGCCAAATGTAAAGTGGCTATTTCAAAGTCTGAAAAAGAACAACTTAGTGTAAGTTTTTTTCGTTCATATAAAATACACCATCCTAAAGAAATTTATGATACTGATTAGATTATACACATGCATGCAGGATAGGGCTAGGCACTTGCTCTTTAACACCATGGAAGTCCTTTCATGAAATGCAAGAACTTTTCATGGGCATAATGTTGATGGTTCCCTTGCCATTTATCCAGAAACAGGTTTGGATGATGGAAGTGGACCACCCAACTGCAACTCACAAGAACTGAATGACATTCAGAATGCAAGTGGGGCGGGTAGCGGACACCGTCACATGACATCGCGGGTGCCCACACATGAGCATAAGAGAGTAAACTCACCACTTCATTGAACGGGGGTGACTATCATATTTGGCTACCAAAATTAAACACTATCCACACATTTTCGCCAGACCTGTGGCAGGTTACATGGCAATTATCCAAACAGGTCAATTTGCCACAGCTCAACTAAGCTATGGAAACCAACCAAACAACCCTGTTTTTGCCACAACTTAGCCATGCCACAACTGCGTCGCCCGCCTAACCTTAGGTGTGGCAAAATGTGGCTGCCAACCAAACATGTCCTAAGAAACTGAAACCTGTACGCTGGGAGGAGAAGCATGAACCAAACCAAATATCCTTCTAGTTACCTATATGACCTAGCTCGTGTGCAAGTGGTAGGGAGATGGAACCAAATATAAGACGATGACATCGAATTGAGGGCACACGTGCAAATGCAATAAATTAGATGTCTACGCACCTGTTGAAGATATGTTCTTCACCAGAAACTGAACCCTGTTCGCTGGGAGGAGAAGCGGTTCCACTCGAGGCTGAAGAAGAGCTCCGGGTTAATGACATCTCAGCTGATCAAGCCTGCAACAAGAGTGGGTGGTGAAATTGCCGGCGACCGGATCTTGCAGGCAAGGGCTAAGGTCAGGGGGTCTTTGGGGCAGCTCGACCCCACCTCGAGCTTCACTACACCCCTCAACTCCCCTTCACCTCTGTATAGGTCTAAAAAAGTGTTTGCTTGACTAACAAATTAGCTACGGCTCCAGTTTGTGAAAAGATTGTTGTGGCTAACAAAAATTGCAAATTAGGAGGTCGGCTACCTTCAAAGCGGAGGGATTGAAGAGGGTATTGGAGGCCGCGGTGGAACCAGGCGGCGGCTCGACCTTGATGTAGCGTCGCTGAGGCTTTGGAGGAGGCGGCGAATTCCTGGAAGCAGGCGGCGGCTGGACCTTGCTGTACCGTCGCTGAAGTATTGGAAGAGGCGGCGGCGAGGTCCTGGTGGATGACGTCGCGAGATCCTGCTTCTTCACTGTAGGCGACGGCGGCGGCGTGATGGACGGGGTGGGGGCGGGGGGGACTGGGCCGAGACGATGAGAGGCGGCGGTGCGGTCGAGGTACCTAGGGTTGCGCCATGGAGGGCATGAGAAAGGGCGAGCGTGTAGAGATTTGGGTGGGGATTGGGGAAGCAAGGTGTCTCTTTTCGGTCAGCCAGTGGGGTCTCGTGGTGTGCGATGGCAAGGTTGTAATTTCTTCCCAACTCCATCATACTACCTCATTTCCGATTTACTCCCTTCGTTCCAAATTACTTGTCGCAAGTATGGATGTATCTAGATGTATTTTAGTTCTAGATACATCCATTTCTGTGACGAGTAATTTGGGACGGAGGGAGTATATAACTCCATATGCACAACAGCCAGCGCCTCCCAACTCTAACCGCAAACTCGGTCCTTCTTCTCTTTCCCATCCAGCAGCCTTGTCGACAGCAAGAGGAGTGGGGACCTGTCTATCTCATTTTTTTTCTTTAGGGTTTGCTTCTTCAGTGACACCGACGAGGTGGTGGCGACGATGGCGTGTTGGAATAAGGTCTCTATGGTCTCTTCCTACCTCGACGCCGTCCGATCCAACGCCGACGAAGGGCATGTGAGAGTTTATGTCCCCTGATCTGTTGGTTTCCTTCAGATCTTGGCGGCTCATGGGCAGGGATCCCCTCCTCCAAAGCGGCTCCCCTCCCCTATGCCTATATATATACTTACTTGAGGGCGTGCCCCCTCTTTTGCACACAATTTCTGTGCAAAAGGATTGCCCCTCCCTCACAATGCAAGAGATAACCATGTAAATGAACTGAATAGAGAGCTAGTAGACCGACAATTATAAAGATAACCGAACATCAATGTGATCCAGATACATATTGGTTCCAAGCTTATTGATGCCTGGTTTGCACGAGATTTTATTAGATACCAGGTAGTTAATTGAAAAATCTAACTACTAACCAAAATAAAGCTAAAGATATAAGTAGACGACCTAAACCAGAACCAACTCATAGTTTTGGGCATCCACAAGTCGAACCCTTAAAACAAAGAGCTGAAACGTGTAGGCAAGGAAACATACAATAATTCATGCAAAGCACCTATCAAACAACCTTCTTAGGTAGGATATATATTACATTCGCATGCATTATGCAGAAGCAACAAAAAAAAGACTTCAGAGGAGGCATTGCAATAGACAAAGTGTAGGCAGAGAAGGTTCATCTCTCACGTCGCCGTGATCCTGTTCATCCTCACCCGCCAACACCATGCACGACTCTAAAGAACAGATTTGCAATAGGCAGGGTGTAGACAAACAAGGTTCATCTCTCACGTGGCCGTGATCCTGTTGACCCCCCACCCGTCAGCCATGCACAACTCTAAAGAACTCATATGCAATCAACTCGAACATCTTAACTCCCCATCTAAGTGTTTCTTCACCTTCTTAGTTTTTCTGCAAAAGTAACCAATCATTCAACCATCTGGCAATCATATTGGCAGAAACACGAGGATCATTAGTCTTGCTATTATCAAATATTATGCTATTTCTTAATATCCAAATTGTCCATAGAACTATTGAGACACCAACCAACATCATGTGCTTTTCAGCTTTTGCAAAAACTAAAACACGTCTGCTTCTGTACACCCCCCTAAACACAATGACAGCTTAGATGAACTCATACCTCTTCATAACAGAGGGTATGATGGTCGTATTTTAGAAATATGTAGACGTTGTACAGCTGCTGGGATTGCACATCCTTTTTTTTCATTTAAAATCGCAAAAAACTATGAGGCTAGCAGGATCCAAACTACCAACTTCATGGTTTAGAGTTCAACATAATAACCAGCCAGCTACCACCAGTTCACATGATTACAAGCTTCTTTCTCAATCTTTTCTTCTTTCCTCTTTTCTTTTTTATTTTTCCTTTTTTCTTGTTTTTTCAAATGGTTTTGTTCGGTTTTTATTTTATTTTTCCTTTCTTTTTTCTGTTCCTTTTTTGTTTTTGTTTTATTTTCTTTTGCAATGTGCAAACTTTTTTCAATTTTGTTTTTCTAAAAAATGAGTGAACTTTTTTCCAAATTTGAGATTTATTTTCAATTCGTAAACATTTTTTAAATATTGATGATTTTTTTCAAAATTGATGAACTTTTTTCAAAATGAATGCATTTCTTAATTCAAGGAATAGTTTTTCACAAAATTGTTGGAGTTTTTTCAAAATCGATGCACTTTTTTTCAAATCTTTGATTTTTTTTTCCAAAATCCGTGATTTTTTTCCCAATTCAAGGTATTTTTCAATTTGTGAACATTTTGCAAATCCACGAATAGTTTTTGAAATCCATGAACTTCCCAAAAAGATCAACCCATTTTGAAAGTCAACGGTCAATTTATTGTTCAGGTCAACCATGAAGAAGGGTTTCTTTGGTCCAACAACGAAGAAATCGATCGGGTGTATGCTACGAGCGACAGCTGATCGCTCATGTAGTTGGGCATGGCGTGCGAGCGCTACGTCCGCTGGAGCTAGGCAAGTGCACTGGGCTCGACGTCGTCGACCTGTCCATGAACCCGAGAATCACATGTACGCTACGTGCAAAGCAAGCTCAAACAAGCAGACTAGCATCTTGATCGATTTTGTCTAGCACACGTATGTGCAACTCGCCGGAGACCGCCGGCATGCTCGGTTCGCTCACCAAGCTCGTTCTTGGCGGTAACCGGCTGTCCGGTCAGATACCTCTGGAGATCGGCGGCAACTCGCTGTCTGGCGCGATACCGGCGAGCATCGGCAAGATTCCAGGTCAGATTGATCTTGACCTCAGCTGCAATGACCTGTCGGGTGCAATGCCGAAGGAGTTCGCCGGGCTCACGTGGCTCGGCGTGCTCGACGTCTCGCACATCCATCTATCAATTCCAGCAACCTCCAGCTGATGTCTGCTCGCCAGAACCTCGCCGTGCTCAACGTCTCCTTCAACAATTTCTCCGGGCGTGCGCCGGGGACGGAATTCTCCGCGATGTTGAGGGCGACCCAGTGCTCTGCATTTTTTTTTAGAACGAAGGTTCCAGAGGAGCCCGGCTTTGAATTAACAAAGCCATCAACCGGCCAAGAATAGTAATACAAGCGCGAAACCAACACAAGAAAACAGAAAAGCGACAAGGTACAAAGATGCTGGACAGCAGCTCACAAGCCTCACACACACCAAGCTAAATAAGATCGAACATGGAGACACGCAGCTTGGAGATGTGTAGGTCCTCAATCGCGTACGGGTCACCAAGGAAGTAGGAGAATCTCAGCACAGGAGTAGCACTTCCGACGGTGAGGAAGGACACGCCGTCGCCAAATCGCCAGCGGCCCCACATGCCATGACCTCCCAGCTCCACTGTCAAAGAAAGCCCCTGCCTCCTCGCCTGGATCGAAGGCGCTGAACCGTTGACAGTGTCGCGGTTCACCCTAGAACCTGGGAGGAAGGACACCGGCAGGCTGCATCTAGAAAAGGAACCGAGCGCACCTGACAAGCCACGGAGCGCTGACCTGGAGTAGAGCACCACCAAATCCACGGACTGGACATGAATGAGAAAGAGATGCCGGAACGGGCGGAGAAGAGCAGTAGCGGCCAGCTACCTCCGCCGCTGCACACCCACCACATCGCCGAGCAAGCCCAATGCCCACCTAGCTCCCAAAGACGGCGCCTTCAGGAAGGAACGCGACGCCAAGGGCGCCGCCGCCGCCCAACAGAGTTGTGGTTTTCACCCGGGAGACTAGAGGGGAAGGGGCGGCGGATCTGACCTGAACGGCGCCTCCAAGGAGGGGAGCGGCGCCCTCAAGCGTGGCCGCCGCCAAGACCGGCGAGGCCGGCCTGGGATTTCTCCCGGTCTTCGAATCCCCGCCACCCATACCCCAACGACGCGAGACCTGGTGGCCCGCAGAGGAGCAGGCCGGATCTGGCCGGGGAGGAGCTCGCCAAACAGGGGAGGCAGGGGCGGCCAGATCTGGCGCTGCCGATCTGCCGCTGCACCACGCCACCCGTCCTCCTGTTCACCCGCTGTCCACACGGCCAAGTTCGCCGGCCCACGCCCCCGCCACCGCCTGTCGCAGGGCCGGTGACGTCTCTCCGACAGGGTGGCCGCCCCGGGGACCTCGGCACCCCGCAGAAGAGGCAGGGCAGCCAGGGCCCCGCCGCCACCTTCCTCGGCGGTGCCCCGGGCTTGCCCGGCGGCGGCCTCAGGCGGCGGCGAGGGGGGAAGGGAGGGGAAAAGGAGGCGGTGGCGCTAGGGTTTGGACCCCCGAGTCGCCCGAGCAGGGGCGACGCGAGGGGAGGGGAGGAAGTGCTCTGCATCTCCCGGTGCCCGGGGACACCAGTGACCGCGAGCGCACGGTGCAGCGCGCCCCTCGCGTAGAGTCGCCATGGCCGCCCTGCTCTCTGATCTCATGGTCCTCCTGATTATCATGGCGGTCGTCCTACTCGGCCGCCGACACCAGCGCTCGGCCATCGAGGTGGTTCGAGTTGACGGCAAGGATCTCCAGGGGTACGATCGGGGAATGTGTTTGGGAT